TGCCACCACCATGCTTCACAGTGCAGACTGTGTGTTTGTGACAATATGCAGTGTTTGAAGACCACCAAATATAGCGTCTGGTCTGATGGACAAAAAACTCAATTTTGGTCTCATCAGACCAACGAACCTTTTTCCAGGTGACTTCAGAGTCTCCTACATGTCTTCTGGTGGACTCTAGTTGAGACTTAATGAGCATTTTTCAACCGATTCTCTCTCTTTGTCACTCTCCCATAAAGCTTTGACTGGTGAAGAACAGTTAACAGTTGATGTATGAACAGTCTCTTTAATCTCAGCTGCTGAATGTTGTAACTCCTTCAGAGGAGTCATAGGTGTCTTGGTGGCCTCCTTCACTTGTCTCTGTCTTGCTCAGTCACTCAGTTTTTTAGGTCGTCCTGCTCTATGCCATATTCCTTCCATTTCTTAATGATGGATTTAACTGCACTCCACAGAAAAAACAGCATTCAGATGTAGTGTGTGTCTTCTGTCAGTGTTATGTAGACGGACCGTACGGGACTCCGACACGACAGATCTTTGCCTCCGAACACGCCGTCCTGATCGGGGCCGGCATCGGGATCACGCCTTTCGCCTCCATCCTGCAAAGCATCATGTACAGGTGAGACTCCAGACGTCTGTTAGACCCTTTAATCCATCCATCAGTCACACCGGTTCTGTTCTGGTGCAATAGAATAATCAAAATAACCGAGGCATTGTGTTTGTCTGACTCAGGTACCGCAGGAGGAAGCAGAACTGTCCCAACTGTAACTACTCCTGGTGTGAAAACATCAAGGACAGCGAGATGAAGCTGCGCAAAGTGAGAAAATAGTTAACGTTGAAGTTTCGTGAAACATTTGTCATGAACACGTGGATGTTATGGTTCTGTTCTGAACTCTGCAGGTCGACTTCATCTGGATCAACAGAGACCAGAAGTCATTTGAGTGGTTTGTTAGTTTGCTGACCAAACTGGAGATGGACCAGGCCGACGAGGAGCCCGAAGGTGAGACAGACTTAAAAAGCTGCTTTAAAAAAATGACCCTCTGAAAATCTGGTGACAAGGTGCCTGAAAAAATATGTTGAATAAACTGTGGAATGCTGTAACATTCAGCATGAAATGAAAATGAGACCAAACATCTGTAAAGTCCTCCTACTTTTTGTCAGCGTTAAATACAATAAATAGTCAAATTTTAAAGTCAAACATTGTCTGAAAAAACAATTTCGACAACCTGTAAATTAAAGTATTTTAATATGATTTCATGAGGTTTTACGAGTAATTTAATAACACTTAAGAGGAACCTTTTCAGGTCGCTTCCTGGAGATGCACATGTACATGACGTCAGCGCTCAGTAAGAACGACATGAAGGCCATCGGCCTGCAGATGGCGCTCGACCTTCTGGCCAAGAAGGAGAAGAGAGACTCCATCACCGGGCTCAGAACCAGAACCCAGCCAGGACGGCCCGAGTGGGGGAAGGTGAGTGTTAGAGCTGCTGCTAATCAGTACTTTAATCTGTGGACTTTCATGATCAGTGGATTAATTGGTTTCTCATCACAAGTCCAAAGAGGTCAACGTGACAGTTTAAAACCTCTGATTCTGTCTGAAGGTTCATCTGCTGCTTTAACTGTCTGATTATAAAAGGCTCAGACGCTGGGAGGGATTCTAACAAGTAGGAACCAACAGTTAGTGGTCTGACAGTGTAGAACTTCTGAAGGTAAATTACAAAACATGAGCTTCAATCGGCAGCAGGGAACCTTTGAAGGAACCAGCAGGAAGTCGACGGCTTTTCACTGGAACTCAGATCATGAAAACTTACAGCAGTGGAGCCTGAATTAGTACTTTGAGCCTTTCTGCTTTGTTGTAACTCCATGTGCATCAAAACAACAACAACTGGCAGTTATTGGCTGTAACTCCAGTTCTGTGAGCTCATAGAAAATAGAACAAAGGAGGTTTGTTATGTTAGTTTATATACTGACGCTTGCAGACTTCTACTGGACAGAAAAATGTTGCTTGTTGTCGTCTCCAAGTTTAACCACTGTGCAGCAGTTTTTCAGCGCCGCTCATAAAGTAGGAACTTCTTCTGTCCTGAAAGAGGTTCTACAGCGACGGTTCCTCCAGTCGGAACACGCTCAAAGCTTCAGGCTGCCCTAAAATGACTCCACAAGTTCCTGCAGTGAAACAGCCGACGGAGCTGAAGGAACCTTTTTAAACCTTCCAGGAACCTTTTTAAAGTTCCTGGAAAGAAAAGCTCACTGTGCTGGTTTCTGTTCTTCATTTACTGCTGAAGCAAAGATGCAGCCTGTTGTTTCTGCTTCTCCTCAGTTAATGCTAGCTTTAAGGATGGGTTTGGTATTATTTTGACAATTACATCTGCAGGGTTTTTATTTCCTGCTCAGAATGGGTCTGCACATGACCCTATTTGACAGAAATGTTTGAATTTTCATTATATTTCTGACTATTTCATGAAGAAATCTGTTTTGTTGTGTCGAGTAAATCAAACCTCAACTCACTAAACTGGTTAAAAACATTGAATCACTATTTTTATTCTCAATTCTTATCATTTTGGCAGCACATAAAACCTATTTGGGTCACACCGACATTGATCTGTGCAGGTTAAAGCCTGGTCTGACTGATGTACGTCACATTTGATGATCTTCTTCCATCAGCAGGTAGAAGCAGTTTGGTTTGCGATGCTGCTCTGATGAATCAGGCTCCATCAGCTCCATGTTCAGCACTACTGTATGTGTGTCTGTTTGTGTTTCAGGTGTTTCAGAAGGTGTTTGAGGAGAACAAAGGGAAGGTCCACGTGTTCTACTGCGGTTCTCCGGCTCTGGCCAAAGTCATCAAGGCCCAGTGTGAACACTTCGGCTTCAACTTCTACAAGGAGAACTTCTGAGGAGCTCCATGCTGTCGACACGCAGCTTTGGTTTGAAACATTTTACACCTAAACAAGCTCAAGCTAACTTAAACCAGCTAACATTATCCTCTGAGTGTTGCTCTGCGACACCGTCTGAAACTCAAACACGAAACATCTCAGTGCACGATTCTCACTCTGTTGTTGTTGTTTTTGTTGTTGTTGTTGTTGCGTCTGTGCTGCCTTCACTGCCTGCAGGACCAGAAAGGTACCGAAGCATCGACTCTCCTTTGGGTTAAAGGTTAAAAGTGTCCACATGAGTCAGAGTCAATGTAAAGATGAATGTATGATGTAACAATCATCTGTTGTTGTTTCTGCCTCCGTATGTGTCACAGCATCATGTTAGCTGCTGAATCCAACACAGAGCCTTTAAAAAGTATTTATCTCCCTGGAAGTGTTTATAGACTTTCAACATTAAATCCTGTTCTATTTATTTTGACTTTAAAAAAAACCAAAAACGTATACCAAATATTTTAACTAACCAACATTACTTTGCAGAAATCTGTCGTCACTTTTGAGTCTTTTTTGTAAGCTCCTCCACATGTAGAGAATGAATCAGGTGATGACGTCTGTTGTTTTCTCCTCTTATTAAAGGATCATTCAAAAGCTGTCACTGCTTCCTGTAGATCTGTGCTTTCCTAACGCCTGATTCAAGCACGACGCTCTGCATCCTCACCACCATGACAGGTAGACAACAGAGCTTTACTCTCTAGAAACAAGTTCCCTCTCTGTGGCTGTTCAGTGATTTCACATCCTGGCAAATCACGGAGCTTGAAGGACCTGTGGGGTCTTTTCTCTGAACTGTGAACTTCAACGCTGCAGTCCACGTTGATCACAGTCAGACAGTAAGAACAAGTAAAACACTGAGTTTTACATAACCTGCGTGAGGGATCTCTGAGACGAGATGAACGGCAGTGAGATCTGTCGATGTGCAGGGGCTGGAGTAGCAGCAATGTGGTGTTATGACCCTGTGGGACATCTAGTGTTTTTGTGTTTTTGCTGCCTGTGTCTGTCCTCAGTGTGAGTGTGTGTGTGTGTGTGTGGGATGAACGAATGGATTAGGAGCAGGTGGTGACCCTGGATTGGCTGCCTCACCTGCTGCCGCGCCTGATTCCAGCCACGCAATTGGTCAGAAGGTGGGCCAATCCACTATTTGAACAGCCCGCCAGCTGCACTCGTCCTCCTCACCTCCAGCCTCGCCACCTCAGAGAAAGCCAGCAGGCCGTCGCAACTGTACTGCAGGAGGATGCAGCAGTAACGTGTTTGTTCCAGGATCGTGTGCAACAGATCCCGAGTCTCGTAGTGACTCGTTGTAAAAATTGTAGATAGAGAGCAGAGTAGGAGGGAGAGGCCTTTTGAACCCTTTTCTCCTGTTTTTTTGTTATTAGGTAGGTAGATAAGTTAATGTCTTTTATTTGCGTTTTTTTTTTTTCAACAGGAAAGTCAGGGTTCATGTAGAATAGGTTTTGTTTGTTAGTTTGGCCTATGTTCCCCCTCTTCATTATAAAAAATAAAAGAAACTGCTCGTTTTGATACCTGGCTTGTGGTGATTGCTGGCCTTCTTTGAGGTGGAAATACTGGTGTGGAGCAAAGATTCATGTTATGCTCAAGGTTCCCCTACACCGGGGCATAACGGTGTGAGCGTGAAGCAGGCAGAATGAACGCTGCCTCAGTTATAAAGCAGTTAAGTGGGTGGGCTGGACTTTAGGGATGAACGACTGGACAGGAGGGACCTTGTGACGCCCTGACTCCGTACCTGTCTGAACTAAGGTGTTTATTTCTTCTTCTTCTTGTTGTTTTCTTCATCAGTACATTTCAACAGGTGGTTTTTTGCACTGGGTTCCTGCTAACAATGACTTAGAACAGCGTCATGTTCTAGAATCACTGGGAGACATTTATAACTGCTTCAGACCTTCACATCACCTTGAACAGCACAGACGTGTTTCTGTTCACGGTCATTTTATTCAACCATCGCTCTGAGTTTCTCTTCAACAACTTTCACTGCATTCAAAGAAACATGTCAGGTAAGCTGAGAGCAGCAAAACAAACAGACAGACGGTGAATTTTTATAATTTCAGGACAAATATTAGAGGTTGGAGATTCATTTTTTGGTCTTTAAAATGTGAATCAGACAGAGTGGAGCTCTCAGGTTGTTCATGTTAATGATCTGCTTTTATTGTCCATACAGTGGTGTTCAAAGAAACTGCATCATGATGCCTTAATAACAAGCATCACAAATAGAAACATACATACTAAGAATATCT